GAGGAATACTACGCTTCTGGGTCACAACTATTTGGCAACACGGCCATCGAGCAGATCAGCCGGGCATACGGCAATCAGGCCGTGGTTGTCAGCGTTGACCCCAAGCGGGTTTACGTTCCCAAACCAGATGCGACCCGGCACGCAACGACCAAAACATCCTACCCGGGGCCAAAGGGAGAAGAGTACTGCTGGTATGCGTGCACGATCAAGGGTGGACGGGAGACGAGGGATCTGGACGTGGTAGAACTGACGCGAGCCGTGGAGGCCATGGGGGCAGGCGAGATATTGCTCAACTGCATCGACAAGGATGGCACAAACAGCGGGTTTGATCTAGAACTGATCAGACAGGTCAAGGAAGCCATCAAGATACCAGTCATTGCCAGTAGTGGCGCCGGTAACCCGGGTCACTTCGAGGAGGTATTCCAGAAAACTACCACAGATGCGGCGTTGGGCGCTGGTATGTTCCACAGGGGAGAATATACGGTGCAGCAAGTCAAGGACTACCTCGCCGAGAAGGGATTGGTAGTCAGGCAATTTGAGGGTGACTTATAGTTACCATCTAGATAGCCTGATAGGAAGAAATGCGAGAAGGAAGGTTGAGAACTAGTTGATAGACTCTATTACGCCGCAAAGGCCGGCACACTTAGTGTCCTAATTTCGAGCCCAAACACTTCCGTGTCAACGACTGTGATACGGTATAAGCGAAACGCCAATTGTGAAAGCAGATGCAGTACTCCAAAAGTGGAATGCAATGCAATATGCAGTCCAACATACCCAAAACCAACAAACGACCGACGACAACGTCTTGAAAAGAAGAACTCCGGACTGAAAATCCATTACCCGTTCAAACTTCCATCCCCATAAAAAGCCACTTCGAACTGGTGACATCCATGCCGCCAGTGAAGTGGTCAAGCGTGGTCAGCGAAAACCCGGCCCACTGCAAACCGTTCATCAGCGGCTTACGCTCCTCCTCGGTGATGGCCCGATCGATGCAAACGACAATGTGCGAGCACTCGAAAGGTCCTTCGGCAAGTTCAATGAGTGCAACGAGTCTGCATGCAAAGTTAGCTTCCTGTGACCGAAACATCGAATGAGTCAAAGACTCGAGGTGAATGGTACTCACGCCTTCTTGAGATCTCTCCCGAGGACATTCGCATCGAAGAAGACAAAGAGATTCCTCTCGCCCATGTTCTCCGCGACGAACGCCCGAAAACTGTTGCCTCCCGCATAGTCCCATATCTCCATCCACTCAGTGACCTTCCCGCTACCACTCATGTTTCCATGTGCATAAGCGGAGCCCATTTGCGACATGGCATGGCTGAGGTAGTCGTCCGGTGGCGTGAGTTGACCGTGTGGACCGAGACGAGCAGCGGATCCATTATAGTAGACGCTGCTGATTTCGCTCTCGGCGTCGCTAATTGTGCTGGCGTCAGACTGTCGTCGTTGATGACCGTAGTCGTTGTCGGACTGATAAACACCCGTCAGGCGGGAAACCCGCTGAGCCGCTTCTTTCTCACCAAGAAACGTGGCCCGCAGAGTTTCGCAGAAGAACCTCTCACATTCTCCCCTGATCCGGAGTGTTGCCCCCCCTCGGCGGCGGCTGTTGTTGTGCCTCGTCTGACCGTGCGGCTTGAGCGCTGACTTCGCCTTGGGCGTCAGAGCGAGCTCGTTGGTCGACGTGATGGCCGCGAGGGGGGGACTTGATGGTGGCGATGGAAGTCCCGTCGAAGGGACCTCAGGAATACCACTCTGCCCCGGCAGCGCCGGTAGTGCAGTAGTGAAGACCCTTCAGGCTCGTGGCCGAAGGGTCGACAACGTAGGCACTGGCGAGGATGCTGGCCTGGCGGAAGGCGGCGTCCTCGCCATAACTACTACTACTGTAATTATTATTGTTGTGTTTCATTGGCGCCATTGCTGATGAGGGATGCCACGGCGGTTGATCTTCCTTTCTTGCGGGGTTTGGGTGATGGCGGATGAAATAAATTCGGACAGAACGTATCCGAATAGCAGCAAGACGGGCGCGGACTTGATTGAAATATATTCGCGGTTTGTCAAAAGACTTGGTAGCGCTAGTTGGTGAGGATGACTGGGCGTATTGATAAAATTTTGCGATGGTTTGAAACGAATATAGGGACGTCGTGATGATGGCAGTTGACTGTGGTGTGGGAGGACAAGGAACGTTCGGTCCCTCAAGACTCCCCGACTTCCTTAAAGACCAAACAGCAAAAGCGGAGTAATGCCAATCACGTGCTTGCTTCTGCCGGATTAGGCTGGCTTGGTTGGCAAATGGAAGCTTGGCAGACGTCCTCACCGGGACAACAACCAGCCCCGGACTCAAGGATGGAACCGCTTGGAAACGGCAGCTTTGATGCTGTAGATGCTATTCTGACTGCACAGCGGTTGATGTTGACTATTCTATCTTGAGCACTGCGATTGTTACACTGGACCGGAACTGTGGCCACTTTCCCGGTCAGGGTCTCTTGTCGCGGCACGTTTCCTTCGGCCACCATGCGACGGTCCTTTCGTTCCGGCAACTGTTCCACCTTTTGCATAAAAGCATCGTACTACGGTACCAAGCAAGCGAGTGGTCACTGGCCGCCCAACTCCGTATCTGCTATGGGATATACCAAGTCAACAGTTAAGATCAGCATTGGCATAACACACAACTCGGCCGCGAGATGCTGACAAGTCAAACGTGCTCTTTGTTGGCATTGCTTGCACAAGCATCTTTGACTGGCTGGGAGGGGCATAAGCGGTGTGATCTGCGGCCATGGCAGCACACTCGTGACCTGTCTTTGCATCTATTCGACAAAGATTCGCCGTGGTCGGGTAACACAAAAATGGACGCTTTCAACCTTTTCTCCCCAACTCTCGCTGAACGTTACTACGGTATGTGAGCTGCCGGAACTGACCGGAACGGTTCGAGTCATCGTTATTTGCTCCCTGAGAAGGTTTATCTCATTTCCCGTCACAAACCAGGGATTGCATCCCCAAGGTTCGCGGGCAAGCGTACAGTACAGTCACTACAGTGTCACACACACAACACTTGCTTCCCCCACACCACCAATAACATACGGCTTGGCGGGGTAGCTCTCTGTCCGGAGCGTCTGGGTGAAACAAGCAATATCATGTGCTCGTCATGACCTTCATCGAACCAGACGGCGAGCATGATCGGATAAGGTACTTGTTAATTGGTGCGCTGAACAGCGGTTATGCTGTGTCGACGCCCAACCGACACCTCCGATAAAGACATCTTCAGCTTCCAGTTTTCCTCACCTCCGAGTTGTTTGTCCGGAGCCTCGTGCGTTGTGATTGTGATTACCTTGGTGACCGATGAAATAGTTCCGTGTACAATCAGGCATCTTCAGACTGCACTGCCCTTCCAACTCTTTATGTTAAGAGCCAGCACCTCTGGTCACTTATACGTCGAGCATTGAGGCAGGGAAAAGCAACCTTCCGTAACCTCTGATGTTACGCATATCACGGATCACCATTAGCGTTTAGAGACCTCAAAAGCCAGCGATTAGTACGAAGATGATTTCAAGCCGGCGCCGCGGCATCCACAAGGATCCGGTCCCCAAGGTCGTTGCAACTGATCCTCGCGAGCCTCTCACTTTCGCAACCTTCATCCTTCCCAGCTTTATCCTCCCATCCCGGCTTCGGCGACCATCGCATGATGCAGAAGATATCCCAGTCCCCTCACTCTCTTCCTCGCCCATGTCCGCCTCGTCCGACGAATCCGCCAAGTCATCATTTTCATCTCACGGCTACATGGGAAAGCTCACCTGCCCCCCACCGTCTGAACATGCCATCTCTCGACTCCACCCGGACACCATCCGCTGCGCTTCGTGCTCGTCTGACGTAGCCTTCACCTCTCAGATTGTCTCCAAAGGCTTCCACGGTCGACACGGACGGGCATTCCTGGTCTCACCACCTAATGCCCTGTCCACATCACCTCCTGTGTCGGGTTTGTTCCCCACGCCTAAGGTCCTGCAGTTCAGTGCGAAGGACAAGAATGACGGGGACGAGTTGGTCAACATCAGAATCGGGGATTCGGAGAAGAGGCAGCTAGTAACCGGGCAGCATACCGTGGCTGATATCTGGTGTACAATCTGCGATGCGAAACTGGGTTGGAAATATGTCGACGCCAAGGAATCGAGTCAGCAGTACAAGGTAGGAAAGTTCATACTAGAGACCAGGAGGGTGGTGATGCATAGCATGTGGGAGTGGGATGACCGGGAGCAGAGTACGAGCTGTGACAGCGAGTGGCTGAGCGGCGACAGGGTCATTGAGCCCGCCGAGGAGACCGCTGGTGATCGTGGAGATGACCAGATCATTGTCTTCAACTCCGAGGACGAGGACGAGTGCGAAGACATCTTTTCCGGGACATGGGATCCGATTGAGGTTGCGGAGAGAAGGAGGAGTAGAGTGGCCCAACGGCCAGGCAAGAGTCGTTGACTGGCTTTTCAGTACAAGAGATTGGACAAGGATTATGGCGACAGTGGAGTGAAGGTCCGGGACAGCGTCAACCAGAGGCACAGTTTGCGGCAGTTTACCTAGTATGAGATACCCAAGCGAAGGAGGTCGCCGCTAAGCATTATCCGAATCACGGGATGTTGTCTGGTCTGCATATAATGATCTCAATGGAGATACAGGTTGCTGAAGTCGATCAGGTGTGGGAAACAAAGGGCTTGATAATAACTTGGCTTCGAAGTGACGATGATCATTTTCGGTGGTCGTTCGGTCTTGTGGCTGCTAGAGCACATCCAACAATCTGGACTTAATGGGGCAGATTGGCGTAGCGGGGTGTAGTTCAAAACTCCTAGATAGGAGTCTACGGGGTTCAAGTTGCTTTTGGCGCTCTTGCTACACTAAAACATCTCCTTGAACTTTTGAGATCGCAAGCTACACCAGTGAGTCTCCTTCCAACCGTTGTGCTCCAGACCCTGTGAGGCAAGGTGTGTGTTGTTCGGTTAAAAGCGTCTGCCCGTCAGTAACTGGGTTCTGTGGTCTAGTGGTTATGACTGTTCGTTGTGGAACATCTTTAGGGATTTCGCCGCCATCCGAACCAGCCCGTGTTCGATTCACGGCAGAGCCAGCTTTTTGTTCGTCGTGCGAGTTTTACACTTTGGTGCGGAAAAGGTCCACTCGCGTTAAAAGGACGTTCACGAACGTTAAAAGAACGTTCAGACCCACTGTGTGTGGCAGTGCGGTACATCCACGAAATTGAGGCTTAGACCCTAAACCTGTTAGTACAGACAGATCGCTCGCTAAATCCTTAGTGGCCCAGTCTTTTCCTAGGGTATCTTGTCAACCAAATTTTCAAGCCGATGCACCGGGTGTTTATTTGTAGTATAACAAATCCGTAAGACAGGACCGTCGTCCTCGCTCTCAAGCGTTAGGTCAATAAAGATAGGAGAGGCCATCGCGGCAAGGCTGACAACAAGAAAGAGGAGGAATACTGGATATCATACAAGGCTAGAGACGTTGGCATACTACGAGGACGGCAACTGCCGAAAAAGACTAGGTTAAGAAGAATTTAGCGCGCGATCTATCTGAACTATTGGCTTGGCGTCAGTTTGCGATGTACCGCACTGCCACACACAGTGGGTCTGAACGTTCTTTTAACGTTCGTGAACGTCCTTTTAACGCGAGTGAAAAGGTCTGTTGAGGTCCTCTCGCCTGATTGTTTTCTAGTTCTACGAATTGGTATCTCGTTGATCTGTTGAATACACCTCCACCAGGGAAGTAAAGGTTAGCTCGGTACATCCTTTCCCATATCAGTTCAGTGTGTGGGACTCGAACCGAACTAACGTTTAATTCCCTGGAGGAGGTGTAATTGAGTTGATCGATTAGTCTGCCACCCAAGAGCTAAGGTCAGGGCGTCTGTTTTAGCGATCTGTGGATAAACGTTGCGGCCGGAGGGGGCTCGAGAACACTTTCGTTCCTTGACAGACAGAATGTTGAGGAGAATGTGGAACACAACGATCAAGCCGAGGCAGGCAGAGTCGTTGATTCCATATTCTGTTAAGTCGAGCGCGACTACTACTATTGTTCTCTAACAAAGTGGTGGAAAACCGAACCAGAACCGAAAAGGATGCCCCTCTTTTCGATGTATGCAGACCAGCAACACCAACCAAGAACTGATCTGTCGACTCTTGTTGAGGATTACTACGAGGAGCGGTCCGCCTTGCACTCATCTGTTTGGGTACCTTGGCACGACTGAGTGATGAACAACCTGAAGAGATGGTTGGAGTTTGGAGGTGCGGAGACCACGCGGGGAAGCTGGGGAAGCCGGGGAAGAAAGTTGCGAACGGCAACACGCCCGGGATGTGGGGACGCAGTGCAGGGAGATCTGTATCGGAGAAAATAAAGCAGTAATTGCTGATCTGCCATTCGTCTCCCATTCGTCCTCTCTCCAAGCTGGGCAACTGCCGACCAAATAACATCGCTGCTACTCCACGCTAGGCCAGCCACGCGGTCACTACGCCATGGGCCTCTCATTCCCCTTCGGTTGAGGCTTACCCTTTTCAGGTGAGGTGTCCTTGAGATGTTACATTTTGCCTCAAATCATTATGCCGATTCATAGCCGCTGCAACCACGATGTCATCTCTTCACAACGGGGGTTTGGGTGTGGGCGAAGTCTAGATCAGCCCCCCTACTGCTCTACCATGGTGCCGGGACCGGCTTTTTGGTTCCGCATAAAGTGTGCCTCGCTCCCGGTAACCTTATGTACGGTCTTGCTGCAACCAGGCGGATCATTAACATTATTTGACTGCGAATTTATCCAACTCACGTCAGCGCCACCGACAAGATGGATGAGAACCTGGATGAACAAGCCATCCGCGAGCTTGAGCAGGTGCTCAACACCAAGATCTACCCGGGCACGGAGATCATGAGAGATGTCGGGACCCATCACTTCGTCAAGTCTGCCGGACAGAGTCACCGAGTGCTCGTCCCCCAACCCTCCGACGACCCCTACGACCCCTTGATTTGGTCGCCGTTATGGAAGCACATTACCATTTTCAGCGCCATCGTCTTGTCGTTCAGCTTGAACCTTGGTCCGCTGGCCCTGGCGCCCATGTTTCCTGCGTATATGGAAGAATGGAATAGCAGTCTTGCCGACGTGATCCAGTTTACTGGTGTGGCCATTCTGTGTCTGGGCTTCAGCAACTTCATCTGGGTGCCTATCATGGTCTGCTTTGGTCGACGACCGGTGGCCATCTTCTCCACCCTGATCTGCGTCGGCTCCTCGATATGGAGGGCTCTTGCCCCAAGCTATGGCTCCTTCATGGGAGCTTGCATCCTCAACGGCTTGGCTGCTGGTCCATGCGAGAGTCTGATGCCCCAGGTCATCGCCGATATTATCTTTTTGCACGACCGAGGAAAGTATCAGACCTTGTACTTTGCCCTGTACTTTGCTTCACTCATGGTGGGTCCGATCATAAGCGGTGCTATGGCACAGCATACGGGCTGGAGGAGTTTCTGGTGGTTCAACACGGGTCTGCTGGTGTTCACGTTGGTGCTCAACATTTTCTGCTTCCCCGAAACCCGCTACAAGCGCGTGTGGGAAGCCCCTGGCTCGGAGCAACAAGCGCCAAAGGGACCAGTCGTTGCCCCGATTGACAACGACAAGGCTGTGGACGAGAAGATTGAACGCCACGATCTCGACGGTCTCCGTGCTGCCGAGCTCATCCCGACCGGGACCAACGAGCCAGGCGCCGACATAAACCTCTCCCAGCAGCTCACACACCAAGACCCATACCTCGGCCGTGGTACTCCCTCGAAGAAACAGTTCATGCCATGGCAAGCACTGGAAGGTGCCAACGTCTTCCAGGAGCTCTGGGTTCCTTTCTACCTGCATCTCTTCCCGGCCGTCGAGTTTGCTGCCTTTGTCGTGTCCTGGTCGGCTGGTGTGTTTCTCGTCGTCAATTTGTCGCAGTCTCAAGTCTTTGCCGCTCCACCCTACAATTTCAGCAGCCAGACGGTCGGTCTCTTCAACATTGCTATTCTGGTTGGGGCCATGATCGGTCTTGTCACCTCTGGACCTTTGTCGGACTGGGTGGCTGCTCGCTTGACAGCCAAGAATGGAGGGATCAGAGAGCCAGAGATGAGGCTGTTGTCGATGATCCCGTACGTCGTGATTATGATCTTCGGTAGCATCATCGTGGCTGTTGGCTATGATCGTTCCTGGCCCTGGGAGGCGGTTGTCGTGATTGGGTACGCATGTGTGGGCATACAGGTCGCCGCACTGCCTTCTATTGCCAGCACGTATGCCATCGACTCGTTCAAGCCGGTCACTGGAAGTCTGATGGTGACTATCACGGTCAACAAGAACTTGTGGGGTTATGGCGTTGGGTAAGTGCCGGATCCGTCCTTCATCCTAACGCATCATTGGCTGACATGAGCACGTTCATAGTAAGTTCCTCACACCCTGGGCCGAGAAGAGCGGGTTTGTACCGGTTATCATGATGAACATGGCGATGCTCACTGCATTTTGCGCTTTCGGCATTGTGTTTTGGTACTGGGGCAAGCAGATCAGGGGCTGGACTGCCAATTCGTTTGTACACAAGCTGTGATAGAGGACGTTGCTCGCCAGACAGCTTACCAGTAATGTTTATCACGTTGATTCATACTGTGCTCATGTAGGAGGTACTTCTGGGAACCTGGCCTACCGGGTCGCGGCAGAAGGCTGCGGTGCGATGTATGCATTGAGGCCCAGTAGCTCTGCTGTGCAACACGGATGGAGAAGAAGCTTCCCCGCAGCGCAGACATCAGCCTGAAGGGCGATGGCTCGGCCAATGGTATGCGGGCGCAGAAGTGCGGCTCTGTGTGTCACACCCTGGCAGCGTTGCCCGGCTTTGGAGGAGCTTTCTCTGGTTGGACGGCGTCTTACATGATGGTGGACAGAGCCTCGTCTTTGTGTGTCTGCCAGCTCTAGCCAAACAATTATAAGAGCGTCCGTGGAAGCTCCGTTTGCAAACCCTCTTCTTGTGCACCTCCTCTTCCAGGAGATTATGTGTCCTGCCTTGACACTTCTCGAGTCAGACTCTCATCCGTCTATGATAAGTCTAGATGTATTCTCGTTGAGCCTCTAGCGCATACTAGCTTCTCGTTCCACAATATCGAGCCTCATCATGTCCTACACATCCTACACCAAACGGCACCACCGCCTCCTCGCCAACGATCCTTACGAGTATCAGCTTACCGCTCCTGCATCCTACCACACATCTCTCACCCGCCATCGCCCCGACGACTACCTCAATCTCGACGCGCTCCCCTACCCCAAGGACCCTCACTATATCCCAGCTCTCGCGTACGGAGATGCCACTCTCGGGCAGGTCGGCGAATACGTCTCGCGCCGCCTTGTGCCATCCATACTGAAGAACTCTGACTTGCCCCTCCAACTCGTCATGAACTTCGGCACCCTCCAGCTCGACAGCGATACGGCCTCTTCGGACTCGCACGCGGGTAGCAATGCAGTAGTCTACAACGCGCCGGGTGGAAGGGTAACCATTGGCCCTACCCGGCGTGAAGAGACTGAGACGTATGGCAAGAAAGTCGGCATCTGCGTGGGGTGCTACAAACGTCATCTAGTAGGGTCGGCAGGCTATTGTTGGGATTGTGAAGTGAGAGTGAGGGTCGCAGAGACGGATAGACATAGCACCATCATGTCTGGAGAGGATAGGGATAGGTTCGATAGGGTAGGGATCCGGTACGTCAAGACGCCGCGGTGGAGTAATGCGAAAAGAGAACAGAGGGAAAGGACTAGGGACAGGCTTATGGATTTGGAGAGGGAGGTTGGGGAAGGTTGGGATCGGGAATGGGAGAGACGAACTGCCAGGAGTTATTACGTTGAAGGGGAGGATGATGGAAGGAGGAAGTATGAAAGGCGTGATAGGTATGGAAGTGATCGCTGGTGATCAGTCAACTTGTTGATGTTGCTGCTCTTGAAGGGTAATATTAAGATAGTCGGAGTTGTAACGGTGCTGGGTGAAGGTGAAGAAGAGCATGAGACTAGGGCACAGACGGGCTCAGCTAGAACTATCATCTCAAACTGGCCACTGATAAGGCTGTATGTACATCTTGGTCGCTCGA